ACAAAGTTAGTTATGTTTAATTTAACTGTTGAATAGAGGTTTAGCAATTTGGGACTGAACCTCGATGAGGAATGTAGAACAAGCAAACCCAACAGTAAATTCACTCTCCTAATGGCCTCACCGCTGCTGGGAGGAAAAAGCTGATCCATGCTTTCACACCTCTGCCTGGAGCCATCAGTGGCAGGACCTAGCAGGTCTTTCTTCTGCTCCCCACAAGGGAAGAGCAAATCACAAATACTGCATAGTCCCAAAGCCCAAGAGGAGCCAGGAAGAGTGAAGATGGCCTCCCCTTGTCCTGATGCATCTGCTCAGGCCATGCTCTGGGATGAAGTTCAAGTAATCTCCTTTGTAGAAATGCTCTGCTCTGCTGTAAATTATGGCTTAGGACAGGGATCCTCAACCTTCCTACCGCCATGACTGTTTAATATAGTTCCTCATGTTGTTGTGACCCCCAACCATAAAATTGTTTCATTGCTACTTCATAACTGTAATTTTCACTACTGTTATGAATCTTACGGTAAATATTTGATATACGGGATACCTGATATGGGGTCCTCAGAGGGGTCATGACCCACACGTTGAGAACCACTGGCTTAGGAGGCAGTGGTATGCGGAGAGTCACAGCCTGTTACTGAGAAGTTTTGGTATTGGATGACGTAATGGCCCCCCTCTCTTCCTCCCTTTTCCTCTCTCCTTCCCTGCCGTGCCATCTCCTCCCCTCTTCTTTCCTTTCTTTCTCCATTTGCTTATTGAGGACCGTGCACTGAGTCTTGGGAAAGACTTATTCTGAACCCAAACAGTTACGGTTGCTTCCTGCACTGGCTTGGATAGCCTACTAACAGAAATGGTTTACCAGATAATTACAAAATGTAAGTTCAGGTAATGAGAAGTTCGTGAAAGCAGAGGGCAGTGAAGGAGGGCCTGGCCGAGTGTGAAGACTTGCCATGGAAACAGCCCGAGGAAGCCTTGTTTGAGCTGAAATCGTAAGCAGTTTTTATGCAGGCAAGAAGAGAGTAGCAGGCAAAAAGCACGGACCCTGAGGCCAGAGGGAGCATGTCCTTTTTGTAGTAAGAGGGGCCTGGTGAACAGTGAGTTAGGGCTTAGTGGTTGGTGTGTGGTGGCATCCTTAAATTTTTAAAATTTATTTCTCATAACAATCTTAAGAAGCAGAAACTATGATTGTCCATTTTATAGATTAGGAAACTGAGGCTCCTTTAGCTCTGAAGATGGGATTCAAAAGCAGTGCTGTTTCCACACTCAAGTGACCTGTCCAGCATCACACAGGTAACAAATGGTAGACTCAGTTCTGAAATTGAGGTATGGCTGATGCTAAGGCCCTTTCTTCTCTAATGACTCTGCCTCCTGGCCTCAAGCAAGAGCTGTCATCCCGGGTATGAGGGTGCTTTTAGGCCTTCAAGGATAAGATGCCTGACTTGCTTGTCACTCAATGGAAGGGTTTTCTCCTGCCTTCTTCCTACCCAGTGGAGACCACCTCTGTTTCCTCTTGTGTTCCTCTGAGGGTTTAGCTCTCCCATCATTCTCAGACAGAGGCCATGGCTAGGGCTTTCCTCGGGGAAACTCAGTGAGTTTCCTCACCAGAGGCTGCCTTCCTCATGGCTTTCTGCCCTCTCAGAGAAATGAGAATCGCTTTGAAGCTGAGGAGGCAAAGACGAGGGCTATGGCATTGGTCCTTTGAAGGCCTGCGTCTCTGCAAGCATTAGGTGTCTCATCCATGTTGTCAGATCTCAGGGAGGGCAAGGAGAGCGGCTGGCTAGGAAGCTTCTAGGCTTCTTTCTCTTCCTTCTGAGTCCGCGGACCAGCTGCCATCCCACTGTGCCTGGAACATGATGAACATTTTGGGAGAAGGGGTAATTTTTAGCTAAAGAAAAATGCCGCCTCCTTGCAAGAAAATTTGGCCACTAACTTCATGTGACAGGTGTAATGTACGACGGAGGTTTTGGGGGATGCGTGGTGGAAAGCAAAGTGCGAGAGGTAATAAGCATCTTGGCATTTATTCTTTATGTAGGAATATTTGTTCCTCAAAGTCAGACTACGTGGAATATTAGCATTTGAATAAATTATTCAAGACCTTCTAGAGAAAGCAAGGGGAAAAAAAAATCTTTCCAGCATTATAACTTGGCAATCTATGAGGTGGTAGAAAAGAAGGCTGTCATTTTTCCTTCAATTACAAAAGGCAAATATTTATTATTTATAAGTATTCGCCTTGTATAGGCTTAAATGTTATTTATGAACCTGTTGCACAGTGATTTTCAATGTAACTCATTATTTTTAGCCTTAGGGTGTTGTAAAGGAGCATGGATATATTTAATGACACTCTGCTAGTCAGTGCAATTACACTGTAATCATTATGTAAAATGTGCTATTAATTAAACCAATTTCCAGTTAGAACATTCGCTTCTGCAGGGCTTAATCTTAATCTCCAGCAATCCTTCTCTCTGTTTTTTGCCTATTAATTATAGGATTACTTCTTAAGCTACATATGATGAAATATGTTTTTATTTTTAAGCTTAATACCATTGATGAGGGATATTTGTCAAATGGAACGGGTGTTTATGGGTCAAAGGACTCTATTTCCTTGACTGAGAAAATGTTTGACTTTAAATGTTATTTTTGTGGAGATGGACTTTAAAAAAAATATAAATCAAACTTTTGCACGTTCCCTTTTCTGTCCAACTAGTGTTATTCACAAAAGTCCTTAGTTGTTTCATGACTTAAAAAAAAATAATTGATTGTCCCTTAATGCATGAGGACAGTTGTTTCTGGGTATCTCCCCTTGTAACAGCAGGTCCTCTGATACCTGAGTCTCATATAAAATTCTGTGGTGTTTGCACAGGACCTATGTGATCTTTAAGTTCCCCTCCTGGTTACTTAGCACCAAATCCATTGTAAATGATGCATAAGTAGCTGATATTTTGCTTAGGGAATAAAATTACAATGACAATTCTATCTGTGTTCAGTGCAGACGTGAATCCCTCTTGAAGCACTCAGTCCATGAGGAGTGAGTTTGAAAGACACCAAGGGTCCATTGCTCTCCCTTGAGTCACTACTGTGCTGAGCTAACCCTCTCTGAAATGTCCTTTTCCTGTGTAAATGTGCTGCGTTAAACAAATGACTTTTCTGGCTGAGGGAAAGGTAAAGAGTCTCTCTTAGGCCTTTCTGACTTTCTCTATGTACAATCTGCTTTCTAATAGTCATGAATGATTCTTGATGGTTCTAGCAGTATTTCTTTAAATAAAAATATTATAAATGTATAAATGTTATATATAATAAATATTTAAAATATATAAATATATATTTGTGTATGTGTGTGTGTACATCCTTTTCTCTGCCTATATTGACCCTTTGCTGATGGAAAGGAAGAGAGAGAGAACAAGAGGAAGCTCATTTATCAAAGGTCCGCCATGAAGGCAATGAGTATTCTGGTTCAAGTTGCCCAGTCTGGCTTCCAACTTTCTATCTTCCTGCCTCACCTCCCAAATAACTGAGACTCCAGTTGTGTACCATGCCTGGCAGAAAATGCTCTTGAATCATTATTACAAATTCCAAGGTCTTCATCCTTTCTGGAAGGATGAAGTTATTTTGTGGCATAAATAACTAGGGTGTATTTGGTGAGAGCTGAATAGTGTATATACTCCTGTGTATAAAGCTCCTCCACAAAGGTGGGTCTTCTACACCAACATTTCTGCAGTTTGGTTCTAGGAAATCTCTCTGGAGAGCCGGGGGCACCTGGTTGTCCCTCAGTACCCTGATAAAACTTTGTCATTCATCTTACTTGTTCCTAGAGTTGACACCAGCAATAGCAAACACTCCCATAGTGTATTCACATGGCCAGCCTACTTTAACCAGATCCAGCATGTAGCCCAGAAACTCAATTCAAGAGTCATGTTAAACCAACTAACCTGGGCCCGGGGGCAGGGGAGGTTACAGAGAATGAAACACCAACCAAGGACCATGCATTGCCTGGACCTAAGTCCCCTATACAGATGTACTTTATGGACAGCGTGGTCTTCATGTGGGTACCCTAGTAAGGGGAGCGGGGCCATCTCTGACAAGGACTCTTGAGTGCATTTCGATCACTTCCCCCTGGCAGGGCTGCTTCGCCAGGCCACCATGGTAGAGGATGTGCTCAGTCCTGATACAACTTTTGATGTGCTGGGATGGGTAGGTGGTGATGGGTGGCTTCCCTTTTATGAGGGGGAGCGGGGATGTGGGAAAGAGGAGAAGAGAGTGGGACTGGGAGGAGAGGAGGGAGAGGCCCACTATTGGGATGTAAAGTGAACAACTAATTGGATAGATAGATAGATAGATAGATAGAGCCACATTAAGTACATACTTTCATAATTTGTCCCACACTGAAAAAACATCCCTGATGACACACCATCTGCTAGAGAAAGGCTGACACCTAATGAAATGCTCAGTGGAACTCCATGGCCTTGTTTCCAGAGGGTTCAGTTCCTTGATCGCTAGGAAAGAGTTGGTGGCATCAGTGGCAAGTTAATTTTTTTCGGTTTTTTGAGATGGGGTTGACAGGGTTTCTCTGTGTAGCCTTGGCAGTCCTGGACTCACTTTGTCGACCAGGCAGTCCTCGAACTCACAGAGATCCACCTGCCTCTGCCTCCCCGGGCACTGGGAATACAGGCTTGCGCCACCAAGCATGACTACGTGGCAGGATTTTTTTTTAGCTAATAAATAAAGAATAATAAGAAGGTACTGGGATTTTATGGTGGGATTTTCAAATGGAGCCAGGTTCACAAACTTAAAAGAAAAAAGGTTGAGAAGCAGGTTAAGAACATTTTGAATGTTATGTCTGTATGTGTGTCTGTGTGTGCACATACGAGGGTACCTTGGAGTGCGTGAGGCTACCCACTGAGGCCAGCAGAGGGCGTAGGATTCCCTGGAGCTAGTTTCCGGAGGATGTGAGCTGCTGGATTTGAGTGACTGGAGCTGAACTTTGTCCTCACTACTGCCGGTATGTTCTTACCGGCTCTGCCGTCCCTTCAGTCCTAAGATCAGGACGCTTTTATCTCAAAAATGCGATAGACAGAAATGACCTGGATAAAATATTTACACCGTGTATGGCTCAACATGCAACGTGCTTTTGTAAATCAAGAAGGCTAATAAACCAACAGAACAAAGGATCAAAATGAAGGTAAGGAAAGCATGAGGTTAACAGTTCAAAAATACATAGAAAGATATTCGACCTCGCTCCTATTTTTGTAAAACACAGATCAAAAGAGCTGCTCGTGGCATGGTTTTTCGGGGACTGTCTTCTTGATATCCTGAGGTAGGGACCCTTTGTGGCTTTTGTGTTCAAGGACTCTTGCAAAATATTCAGATTACTTCCCGGGTGGCTTAAAGCTGGAAAGCAAGAGAACATTTCTGAGTGTCCAGAACGGTGTCAGGCATTAAATGACTTGTGAGAGGTCACCCCAATCCCGAGTTGGGGAACCAAGATTTGGGCCTAAGCATTTGCTCTTTGAATGCTTCACTCCAGCACTTGTGCTGTGACCTGTCTGAATTCCAACCCTTCCCGTGCCTGCTCTTGCCTGAGGCTCTAGCTTCCAGGGAGTTCCAGGAGCCTCCCTTCTACAGAGAGGCTGGTAGCAGGGCGTTAGTACACTTGCCCTGTTACCCAGCACAGACGAGAAAGTGCAAGAAAGGGATGTGAGGACACAGATCCGAGCTGTACTGTCTGTGACATCGGGTTCATGAACTGAGTTATTATGGGGAAGGTTTGGCTCCAAGTATCATTATCTTAGTTTAGGACAATGGCTATTTATCTGGAGTAGAACAATAGGACACTCTGATTTGTTTTGTTTAGAAGAGCTAAGGGGTGCTACTTAGCTTAAGATGAACTGTAGGTGGTGCCAGCTCAAAATGGCCAGTGACACGCGCGTGTGAGAACGGACCGCAGTCTGGCTGTATCCTCAAGGTAAAGCCACGTGGGCCCTATGCTGCTTTGAACGTGGGTGTGAGACAAAGAGAGGTGCCAAGGATGGTGCCCACGTAAACGGCCAGAAAATGAAATTTCTGTTAAGCAATGACTTTTGGCAAATATGCCTAAGGGAGTGGTGAGGGCGGGGGCAGGGGGCGGGGAAGTGGTTTTTGACCCTCCACTTCTATCTAGCCCAGAGCAGAGGCCAGTGCCTTAAGTGCAGAAATCTCAAAGCTGAGCTGGTAGATGGTAAGCGGTCGTGAAGCCTTATGAAGCCCCCGGCCCGAGTCCAGGCACACTGTCTATGTCTGTGAGTTTCCAGTCCCAGACAAGCCCCTGCCCTTACTCTCAGTGAACAGGCCACACTTGGGCCAAATCCTTTCCCGCTGCAGTCCCCTTGGAGGGAGTCCCTGTTCTAGGCACTGGGAAAGCAATCTGGGTTTCCTGGGTTGCCGGCATTTTCTTAGTCTTTATTTCCAGCTAGCTTCTTTCGAGATGAATCGCGTGAACATAGCAAGGTGCACACAGAGGAGGAATGTTTCTGAGGAACAGGCAAGCAGCTTGCAAACTCCAGCTGGTGAACTGTTTGCAGTGACTCTTTTTAATATACACTGCTGACCCTAATGATGGTCTATTGAGATGAGGGCAAGAAGTGTCTGATCAAGTGGAGATTAATTTTTTACCGTGTCGCCTGGAATGCATGAAAATGCACTCCTTTTTCTATTTAGACTCCCGGGATGCTTTGATTGATTGACTAGTTTACAAATGAAGGTGATAAAATTAGGTTGAAGACCACATACATTTCTTAAAATGAGGCTGGCTGGTCGCGGAGACAATGAGGTTTGGACAGATTGTATTGCTGGTTTAGGCAATCTTCTGAGCATGTCAAGATTTATGGACCTGTACTGTAATGTTACAATTGCAGTTCACCGATACAGGTTTCTTTTTAAATTCTTTCCCATTTTATTTGAAAAAGGCCATTAGAGAGTTATAGACTATCGAAAAAGCTTTTTCTTTGCTAACCCTTAATAAACTCTTCCAAACAAGGAGTAGCACATTTTTAAATTAAATTTAGACCAAAATCTATAAAACATGCTATTCCGGGTTGGATAATTTGATTATTATTATCTAAATGGAGTTATGGTTCATAGTGGTTTACAGTAATGTACATAGTAAATAAAATGTAAGTTGAGATTTGTATAAAAATCACAGGACACAGAGTTTCCTTTTTTTGTTGTTGTTTGTTCTGTAAGCCTTTGGGGTGGGGGTGGGATTTTGGCCTCTTGTCCCTGAGATGAGAAATTAAAAAAAAAAAAAAAAAAGAAAGAAAGAAAGCATTCCCAGTGGTGAAATTAATGCTGCGTTGTACTAAAAACAAATAGCTATTAATATTTACTTGTTCTCATTACCACAGAGGAAAGTTATAAATGTCTTAGGAGTTGCCCAACTAATAAGATTTACCAAGGGTACTGAAAAAGCATGAGAAAATACTCAGCAGAATTAGAAACAATTATTCCATTGTAAGTTATGATGTGAGAAATAATAGATGAGATTCTGGAGTTATTTATGAATTAGTCAATTCTGTTTCATACATTTTTTGCCATCAAAATAACTTATGAAATCATTTTCTGGGTCCATAGCATTTTATGAGACCTCTGTACTTGGTTAAAGATTTTTTTTTTCCCCCAAGGGTTTCTGTAGCTGCTCACTCAATCCTTTGACAATGTCCAGATTTTGACCTAAGTTTTCCAACTCTGCAGGCAACTCACTGGCAGTCCAGAATGTTCTGAAAGACGATCAGGCTGGCACTTTGTAATATACAGAGAGGTTCTGAAGGTTCAGGAATGTAGCAAGGAGGAACGCAAAGGGGGCTGGGAATGTTGAAGGCAGTGATGTGGGTGAAAGGCTTGGCCTGGCTCCTGGCTCTCCATGAGTGCCCGGGAGGTCCTAGCGATCATTACTGTCATTACTGATATTAGTTTTCTGACGCCTCTTGTTTCGAGGAAGAAGATTAGCACAGCGTGAGCTCAGGCAGACAGCCTTGTCTGTAGTGGGTGACCTTGTCTGGATCCCTTAGCACTTTTGTTTCCCTGGCCTTAGGGTATCCAGTGGTTTCCGCGGTCTTTTTCGAGGGCGTGAGAGGAGGTAATGGGTACAAAACTCTTTGAGACGTATAAGGTGTGTAAGAATATTAATCGTCATTTTTAATAATTTTTAAGTACCTGGCCCCACGCTTTTTAAAAGTGAAACTTGGACCAACGCGAACAAGTCAGTAAGCGCCGGCCAGTTCGTAAGGGGGCTGTCGGGGGGGTGGTGGTGGCGTGAGCACAAGGATTGAAGGGCGCTGGGGGTCAAGCGGTTTGAAGAACCCAGCCGAACACGGACTGCCTCCCCTGATTTAGTTCAGAAGTGGATGAACTTTGAAAAGTAGAACATCATTTCTGCAGAAGGTCATCGTATTTCTCGGTGATTTACAAGGTGAAGTCTGGGACTGTGCCGGGTCTGTTTCAGATCCTCCGGTGCCAAGAGAAAATATGCTGATGGAAGGGATAATGCCTGAGCGGCTGGCTCCGAGACCGGAGAGACAGCGGGCCGAGCCACCGATGCGAGAGGACGTCTCCGGGCCTTCTCGGCTTCCTCCCTACAGACTCTGCGGCCTGGAAGTTTCGGAGGAGAGCCTTTGCTTGACCTTCAGCCGCCGCAGCTGGCAACTGCAGGAATTCCAGAAACCCTGTTCAGGCTGCAGGTGGTACGCAGGCTTTTGTTTTCCAGATGCAGGGTGAGTCACACCTGCAAGAAGGAACACACACACACACACACACACACACACACACACACACACACACACACGGCTCAGGGGTTAAAAGCACCGGCTGCTCTTGCAGAGGCCCAGGTTTTGATTCCCAGCACTCACACGGAAGCTCACAACCATCCATTAACACCAGTCCCGTGGGGGGTCTGTGTCCTCTTCTGGTTTCTGTGCACACCAAGCACACAAGCGATGTACAGATATACATCCAAGCAAAGCACCCATTATACACGTAAAACAAAATAATGAAAATTAAAAATCTGCCTCGAGGCTGCTACTCCTTAAGTGTAACACATACTAGTGCCTTAGTGTTGGATGGCCTTATCAGTTTTCTCAATAATGTTTTATTTTTTAAGAAGGTCGTTCATGTGTAACAGCAATCGTCATTGAGTATCCGGGGAGGAGAACTGTTCCCCAGCTGCTAACTATGGTATTAACTCTTTTTATTTTTCAGATTATCTATCTATCTATCTATCTATCTATCTATCTATCTATCTATCTATCTATCTATCGTGGTATTAATCCTTTTTCAGATTATGTGTGTGTGTGTGTGTGTGTGTGTGTGTGTGTGTGTGTACATGTGTGTACTCTGGAGGCCAGAAGAGGGCATCAAATCCCTTGGAGCTGGAGTTCCAGGCAGTTTTAAGAAACTGAACTCAGACCCTCTGGACAGGCAGCAAGTACTCTTGTTTTTGAGACAAAAAACTCCCTATGGGACCCAGTGTGACAACGAACCCGTAATTCTCCTGCCTCTGTCTTTGTCTCTCTTTGGTCTCTGTCTCTCTGTAATTATGGAAGCCTGAGGGGGAGGTGTTTAAGGAGTAAGAGAAGACAGCAGACGCCTGCCCGGCAGCCAATCAGGTAGGTGGGAGCTGGGAAATGTGGGTGGAGCGGAAGCACGGCTGAGGTTTCCCCAGGGCTTCTTTCTCCAGGGCGCATCTGTGTGTCAGCCATGATCCTCATGTTGGAAGGCCATCTCCGCTTTCTACCTGCCCAGACCTGGGGCAAGAGCCAATGATGTCATCCATTCAGTGGCAGGAGACAATGCACCTCACGCTGGCATGATGTCATTAGTCTATGGTAATCTTTCTAAGTGTTTGCAAGAAAGAGATGAGGTATTTAGAGGTTTGGATAGTTTGAAACGCGGCGATTTTTCAATCTTTCGAGCTGCCCAATCCAGGGGCTTGTGAGTCTACAAGTGTCTGCCATCTTTCTCGGTGTGTCAGAGAAAATCGAGTGACGGATCACTTCTCGGCGTCACTGCGCGAGACCAGTGACAATCAGTGAAATGATTGTGTCTGCCTCTACACATATCTGTAATTGATTGCCTAAACCCTACGACTCTCTCTCCCAGTTGATATGATGGAACACTGGAGTGAAATCACTCTCGATGAGGAGGAGCCAGGTCCATTTGTTATTTACTTCCCTGCCTGCTTCCCTCTCCCCATCCGGCACCAATTGTCCCACAAGAGAGCACATTATGGTAATCAGCCAGAATGTATGTATAGGAATCAATCAAGGCGAGAACCATCGCAAGAGTTATGACATTACAAAGTCTGTTTGTAACTTTTGATTTATGGAAGATTTTCCATTTTATAAATTGGGAGTGAGGCATGTTGGGATGGTTTAACCCTTAAGTCCCCTGACAAGGAGAATGCATCAGGCATGACAGCTAATAGACATCAGGCATTTTAATTATCTGGTGCTCTGAGGTAACATGTTTGGTTTGTGACTCTAGAAGCAGCCTCCAATGCTCTGAACCTGTCGTTCGAAAATAAAACTGGCTCGTTTTCTAGACTCGATCAATTTAGGGTGCTACATAATTTCTTCTGCTAAGAGCATGGTGAGAAGCCAACCCACACTGAAACACCCAAGGACCGATACCCCTAGGGACCTCCTCCATCCTGTCACTCTCAGAGAAAGGACTCCATAGAGGCCAATCTGAAACCCGTGAGATACTGAGCAAATGGCTTCATCACCCTCCTTCTTTACACAACTGCTGAAAACTGGTAAAGGCAGGCCTAAAGCATTTTCCAAAGTGATATGTGGTGCTTGTCACTAAGTCAAACAGCAGAGGCTACATTCAAAGCTTTGGAATAGGCAGGAAATGGGCCTCTAGCACCAGCTGATCACAGTTATTAATGTCGGAACCTTCTGTGTTCTGGGCCAGAGTAGCAGTCACTGAGACCCTTTCCTCAAAGGATGCTGAGATCCATTGGTGGTTTCGTCCTGCCAACATGGCAACAGAACCAAAAATATGAAAATCCCTGTCCAAGATCCAAGAGTAGATCTTGCTACTAGTGCAGGACTGGAGGCCAGGGACCCTGACTCTTGGTCCAACGCTTTCACTTAACTGATTCCGGGCCAATCATGCAGAGAAACATTGGAGGTGTACTTCTTAGCCCAGTTTCTGAAGGCTGGATGTTCCTGGCGGGTGTGTACTTCAGTCATCCTGACCAGTAGCTCTGTCCCCTCCGTGGAATGACCCTAGCAGTGCTGGCCACTGTTATTAGCATGTTTGGCACACCCAGTCCTGAAGGTAAGACATGGGTCCTCCCTGAAGAGTGAATCAGGGCAGAAAGAGTCTGTCCCCTTCCAAGGTCACGGTCACTGGATCTGATTTTCACTTGGCAACCTGGTCACATCATCCCGTGTGGAGCAGCCACCGTCTGTTTCCCTTTTATGAGTGTGGTGGACCTATTCTTCCAAGGCTTCCTTCCCCTCCTAATGTGAATCTTAAAGCTAATAAGAATGCGGATCCCAGAAGACCTCCTCTCTCTCTCTCTGATAATCCATTAGGAACTTGAGATCGCTGTCTCTGGAAAACTTAAAAAACCATTTAAAAACAAAAAGATGAATAAATGAAAATGTTATGAACCTGGAAATGTTAATTAAGCCATTCTCAAGGAACAGGCTTTCCAACCCAGATTAAAACATCCCATTACTTTTAAATAGTTACCATCTTTCTCCTTGAAATAAGTCCAAATTAAGGACAAAATCATTATAAAAAGAAATAGTAAAGAGACAGAAAATGGTGCTGAGAATTTGGCTATCAACCGACATTCTCAAGTCAGGGAAAACCATGAAGGCCAAAGCCATAAAACGAAGTCTGCTCCCAGACAGCCTGCAGTTACTGCCAAGCAGGAGTCTGGTTGACTGAATTCATAGGGCAAGCAGCTCACAGATCAACCTGCTGGATGCTTCACTTTTCAGATTAGGGAACCAAGATCAGAGAGGAAATGGCACCTTGAGGGCTGAACCCCGAACTCTTGCCTCCTGGTCCCAATGTTCTTCCCACTGCAAACACACCCGAGGAAAATGTCAGGATCAACACAATGACAGCGTAGCTGCTCTTAGACAATTGGTACAGTGTCTCCACCACCTAACCCAGAGGCATGGCTCCCGGGAACTTCAGTACGGCAGCAGAGCAGAGCCTTGCTCTGTCAGCATATTGTGTAGCTAATGATTCCAGTCCTTAGAAACATGGGCAAACTGTGGTAAGGGAGGGGGAGAGAGATTGAATTTCCACAGAAGCTGCATCAAGACCCTTGCACTAAATGACACTCTCATGCCCGTTAGAAGGCATCTTCGGGGTCCTCAAGGGATTATTTATTCCATTTGACATATAATTCCAAGCAGATTTGAAGTCGAAAGTTAGTTGGTAGCAGTCTGACAGCAAGACGAGGCGGCTGTCATTTCTTATTGACGGCCATTAGAACTGACAACCGGCAGCCTCATGCGGGGAGCAGATAGAGCACTATAAAAGAGAAATAACCGCAGGACAGTGGCCTGGCCCCATCTCATTAAAGCATGGCAAGGCCTGTAAAAGATCTTCTGGGGGACACCGCTATCCACCTCAAAGTGTGATGACTCTGTTTGGCTAAGCACATATCGTGTGTCGGTGATGGTGTTACGTACTTCACAAACTATTTCTAAACTTTGAAACTCTTCAAGGGAAGTAAGGACATTCCTCTTTTATAGATAAAGAGACTGAAGTTTAAAAAAGCAAGCAAGCAAACAAACAAAACCAGAATTATGCCCAAAGTCATGAGACCTAAAAAAAGACAATGAATTTTGAACACGGGAGATCAGAGTCTGAAATCTGTGTGTTTTTTCCTCTATGCCGTGACTCAACCTCATCCTCAAAGCCTGCGGCAAGAGAAAAAATGGCATGGTATGGTATTACTTCTCAGAAAAAGAGGTCAGGAGAATGAAGTGCATTTTAGAACAAGATACTGTATATCTTTTGTACGGAATTATAAATATGAAGTTCCCTAGTTCTTCAATTAGGGGTCATCACTAGTAAATGAGGTATAATTGATGACACAGTGATTTGTGGAAAATAGGGGCCCCCTTTGAATTGTAGCACTTCGTATTACTAACTGCTGTATGAGAGTTATTCTAAAATGTGCCGCTCTGTCTACTGTTTTGACATAGGTCTCTCTCACACTAGGGGACAGCTCTGCAGAGGTCGCAGGCTGGTTTAGGATACAGACTTGTAATCAACATGTAAGAAGATAATGACAAAGACCCAAGAGAAATGGCAGGAAGATGGAGCTCTGCCTGGCAGCTAAAGGAAGTGAAAGGAAGCCCTAATTTTAGAGTAGTCTGGTACTACTACACGTTACTACACGTTCAGTTTTTTTGTTTGTTTGTTTGTTTGTTTTGGTTAATGAAAACGATGCCTGTCAAAAGTTACCAAAAAAACAGGAATCCCCCAAAGTGCAGTGATGCTCAACGTGACTCCCCCTGTAGCTTCCTGGAAGGAGATGGGATATGAGACCTCTCTCAGAAAGCAGGTACCAAGTTGGTCTTCCAGGCTTATGTCATATGTATACATGTTTTGGGGTCCTCTGTAGTAGACCTCAGAGTAAAAATGACTCTTCTTTTACCCTCAATGTCGACAACCGAGGACCTGCGATGTTAATGAATTTTCCGAAATAAAATTCCGCTGGTTAGTAGCCACGTCAGAAACAGAATTCAGGTCCCTTGACTGTGGTTCAGTCCCTTTCACGGATAGTGCTCTGTTTCTTGTGTCATTGTCCTGATTGGATTCCTGCTTATTCCTTACACATCGGCAGAAGTATGATGTAGTTTCTGCATCAGTTTGCATTCTGTGTTGCCCTGCAAGAGTCAGGAAAACAGGAGCTGTTTAGTTCTACTCCACATCGCTTTTCTTTCTGAAGACCTTTGCGGTCATCCGGCCAATTAAACATTCCTTGCTACCATTCCTACCCCATCCATGCACCAGACAATCTCAAGACGCCGCAACGTATGTCCCCTCAGCAGAACGGAATGAATAATAAAACAAAACAATGATTCTTCTATTACAGGAGGAAAAATGTAGATGGGTACAGGTAGCTGTGTGCAAGAGAAGCTGGTAAATGGGTGCCGTAACAGAGACAGGCGAACTGGCAAAGCACTAAGGAAGCAGAAAGAGAGATGACTCTGACCTGGGAGGCAGGGAAAGATGGGAGGGTCTCAAACGCTTTCTGGAGGGCCTGACAGCTCAGACCTTCATGCGTGAGGGTGTCATTCTGTACTCTTCTGCCCTGTCAGCTCTCGCTGTGCACTGGCATAGCAGGCATACCCCGAATGTTAGCGTTAGCGGTCGACAGGAGCGAAAGCTCTTTCCTGTAGGTGTGCTCAGGCCAGCGGCTGTCATTCCAGGGGCTGTTGAAGGAGCAGCAGCTGTGTGTTGAAGGCACACGCCCCCACTGGGGCGGGACAGAATCCCAAAGGGAGAGACCTATTTCGTTGGGAGAGAAATGTGAAATCCCTGTTACAAGCCCTCCGTCTAAGGTCCATGCGCCAAGTAAGCTGTGCGGCCGACCCACAGTCGATGGAGTGGGGATGTTCCCTACCCACAAGAGGCTGGAGCAAGGGCAGGGGAGAGTTTCAGGAACCCTGAGCAAACAACACAGCCCACCGAGCGCTCTCACCGCCCCCAGCCTCTACTTACTCATTAGCTACTATTTACTCATTTCTCAAGAGGAAAATCGCTGTTTCCTTCCGGCTTCTCTCCACTCCTGCTGGATGACGGCTGAACTGACAAAGCCGAATGAAGGCAGAAAGGCAGTAGATGTGTTTTGCTATACCTCAGCCACTTTGACCTCATGAATGTGCCCTAACACACACACACACACACACACACACACACACACACACACACACACA